ATCAGCTGGGACCCAGTTCTTCCAGCTCAAAAGAATTAGCTTCCTTTTTAGTGTTATTGTTCCGTGGGACTAGCTCTGGATGACCTAGGGGGAAATTGCTTATGGATATTAGAGCTACAGCTCTGTAAATATGGAAAGTGGCAAAGATACACCCCTAACAAGACCTCCTCAGGGCAGTGGCTGTTTTGGAGGTAGAGAAAGAGATTCTTTAAAAGGTTCCAGGCTTAGAGGCTCAACTTGGCCCATTGACCCTTCTGCTGCCACCAAGGCAGGTACCTCTATTTAAATTTCAGGATGCCCACATGTGACTGCTTTTTTCATCCAAGGCAGGCCTTAAAGTTCATTATTACCAAAACAATGTGATTTTCCAAACTCAGATTGTCTAGAGATTATCCTTAGAAACAAGTTCCAAGAAGGCAATCTGAAGCTTAGTTTTTGTCATGGTCATTTCAGAATGGCACGGCAAAATGCCTGGAACTTACTCTCAAACCTCATGAGTAAGTTAAATCAGACACTCACGTTGCCCCCCATCAATATGGTGGAAAGAGCCCTGCAACCCCCAAGTCTTAAGCTGTGGGGTTTTCTTCTTCCCTGGCCTGTCCACCTGCCTTCGTATGCACATCTTCCCAGTCTAAGCCACAGGGCACAGCCCAGCACCACCCAGCCCAGCACAATGACCCCTTGCGCATGATACAACATATCAAATTTCCTTCACTCCAACTTTATTCAGTAGCCTTCATCCTCATCCCTCAACTTTCAAGCATCATCATAGTCCACTTACTCACTTCTCCACTTACTCAAAAATTATATGTTGAGCATCTATTATAGACTAAGCCTGGGCATAGAGTGGTAAACTACAACAGCAACAAAAAAAATTGCAGACCTTGTCCCAATGAAGCTTACACTCTACTGAGGGGGAAAGATATTAACCAAATAGCCACACAAATAACTATAATAAGTTTGCATATGTAGGGTTGGGGTACTTTCAGAATATGGAACAGAGAGTCTTAGCTTTGACTTGGAAGTCATCAGAAGAATGAGTAGGAATTAAGTAAACAAAGAGCAAGGAGAGGCAGGTGTGCCAGGAATAGGACATACTATGTGAACTGGCCCTGGGGTAAGCAGACCATGGCACATGGAGGAAGGGAGAGAAGACCAGTGTGGCTGACAACTGGGGAAGGAAGTAAGAATGAAGTGGAGAAGTTGACAAGGGCCTTACAGCTAGGCCATGTTAAAAACTTTGGTTTTTATTCTAAGATTATGGGAAGACTCGAAGGATATTCAGCACAAGGGATAACGTAGTGAGACTTTGATTTCAAGAACGTCACTCTCTCTACTGTATAGAAAATAGACTGGAGAGAGACAAGAAGGGATGTTACAAAGTTGTTGTGGCTCCTTAGGGAAGAGATGTCAGGAACTTGGACCAGGGAGGTGGATGAAAGAAGCATATGAACCAGGAGCTATTTAGAAAGTAGAATTGAATGACTTGGCAACAGGTTGTATAAAAGGGGAGAGGAAAGTGTCAAGGATGATTCCGGAGGTTTGGGACTGTTAAATTCGTGTACAGGGGTAATTTTCACTGAGAAAGGGAGCAAAGGAAGAGAATCAGGTTTGGCTTAAGTCTTTGTTTTGTCTTGTCTTTGAGTCAGTGGTAGAAGATTAGATCATAAATTTGGTTTTGGACATGTTAAGTTTGAAGTGCTTTTGAGACATGTAAAGGGAGAGGGTTAGCTGGCAGTTAAATATAAAGGTCTAGGAAATGATCCAGAACCAGGGGCAACTTTGCCGCCCAGGGGACATGTGTAAATGTCTGGAGACTTTTTTTTTTTTTTTTGAGGACTATCAGCCCTGAGCTAACTACTGCCAATCCTCCTCTTTTTGCTGAGGAAGACTGGCCCTGAGCTAACATCCGTGCCCATCTTCCTCTACTCCTCTACTGTATACGTGGGATGCCTACCACAGCATGGCTTTTGCCAAGTGGTGCCATGTCCGCACCCGGGATCCAAACCGGTGAACCCCGGGCCGCTGAGAAGCGGAACGTGCAAACTTAACCACTGCGCCACCAGCAGGCCCCTGGAGACATTTTTATTTGTCACAACAGGATATGGGGGCTACTGGCATCTAGTGGGTAGAGACCAGGGATGCTGCCCAACATCCTACAATACACAGGACAACCCACACCTCACAGCAAAGAATTATCCAACTCAAAATGTCAATAGTACCAAAGATAAGAAACTAGTGTACAGATATTTGAGAGCTACTGGCCAGAAGTCTTGGGCACTGATGAGATCACATACAGTAAGCATAAGAGTAAGAAGGAAGGTGGGATAGTACACCTTTTTTAGGAATTATAACACCTAGTAGCTGGATGACCTAGCCTGGGAAACTAAGGAGGAGCAGCCAGAGAGGTAGGAGGAAATCTTGAAGAAAGTAGAGTCACAGAAGCCAAAGGGTGGGAGGGGAGTGGTTAAAAGTGTCAGATGCTGCTGAGAAGCCAAAGGAGATGAAGATTAAAAGCTCTCTTGCATTTAGGGATGTGGAAGTCATTGGTGGCCTCAGGAAGAGCAGTTTGGGCAGCCTGATATTGAGAAAAGACATATTGCAATGGGAGATGAAGAAATCGAGGTAGCTAGTGCAGACGACATTTTTAAGAAGGTTGGCTATGGAAGAGAGGAAAGAGAGAACAGTCTTGGCAAGGAATTTCGAAGTCAAGAATAGTTTGGGGTTTGGTAGTGTTTTTTTGTTGTTTTGTTTAAATTTTGTTATTTTGGAAAATGTCTAACATATATAAAGTAAGCAGAGTATGATAAGGGACCTCTGTGCACTGTGGATTTTTTGGACTCTGGATTCTGTTGTGTTCCTCAGAAGAGTAATTTTTGTCCCACGAGGGAGTTAACGTGGCTGGACTCAAATTCCAAACCCTGTCTCTCCTCATTGGCAGCAGGGGAAATCTCAGCTCAGTTCTTTAAGCTTCCAGCTGCAGCTTTTCTTGCCAGGCCCTCCTGGATGTGTCGTTGAACGTCAGCCGATGATTTGGGCAGGTTTTATACACAGACTTTGGGGTTCATCTTCTCTGCAACTCCTTCCCTTCCAGAAATTCCCCCTTCACTTTCTGGCTGCTCTTCCCGGTCCAACTCGGTTCTCTGAAACCTCAAGCTAGTCAGGCTTTGGCTTTCTGCTGCCCTAAATTCCTTGCAGACTAGACTGCCCTCAGGCAAAAACCTGCAAATTTGCAACTTTCAAGATATAGATTCTCCTCCAGTTTTGGCCTGCTTTTGGCCAACCTCCATTGCCTTAAAAATATATATACATATATATGTATATCTCCAAATTTTATAACATAATATAAATTGTTTAAAAATTAATAATTTTGTCATTGTTATCTGAAGAAAGCTTTATCCGTCCAAGCAACTCTGTCACTACCAGAAGCCAGAAGTTTTTAAGATGATAAAGACTTGGGCATATTTTAGAGCTGATGGGAAATTAATGGAAAAATCTAGTAGCGTGAGAGAGAGAGAGACAATGGATAATCAACAGTGTAAGGATCTGCAGAATTCGTAGGAACAGGAGGAATGAAGGGGTTGGCTGCAGATGCAGAAGTTCATTGGTTTGTTGGCGGGAAGCTGGCAGAGATGCCATCCCATGGTTTCATGTGCCATCAGAGGCAAGGTCACTAAGGGAATGGTGATGAGAGGTGGGAGAGGTGAGGTGGTTGGAGGTTTGAGAACAGAGAAGTTTAAAATACTCTTTGCAAAGAGTGAAAAGAGTGAATTTTGACCAGAGAAACACTGTAAGAACGAAGATTGGGCCGTCCCCATGGGTTAACAGTGGTGAATTTATGGTGATGCCAGTCAGTGGTAGGATTTTCTACAGCTGCCTTCGGCTGCCTGGGTGGAGGCACACAGGTTGCAGAAAGTGGGTTTATCCAGGGTTGGGGGTTTTACAAGATTGGTGAGACCAAAGAGCAAGGCCTAGGTGTTTACAGCATTGACTGAGGCATGATTTAAATGATGGATCCAAAATCTGAGCACCCCACGAAGCCACACAAAGCGTTTTTTAGAAGTCCTCTCTGATTTAACCAGGGAAATTAGAAGGGGCAACTGTTCTCCACACTTCCCCAGCCACTCACACTGGCCAAACAGATTGAGCGTTTGACCCTGGCACTTCATAGGCAAAAGGAGCCTCTATGTTAGGTGCATGGACAAAAAGGGAGAAGAAGAAAGTGGCACAAGCTAACCTGCCATCCTCTGCACCACCCCCACCCCCATCCCAGGTACGCATTTTCTCTCACCTCTGATCCCAGAGCAGAAGACTGAGGTCCGCATACCTGGGCCTAAACATTAAAAATTCTAAATTAAGCTAATAAACTGTTAGGTAAAATATGTCCCATCCTCCTGCCTTTACAAGTATACCTTCACGATGGTCTGGAAAGCCAAGTGTGAATTTAGAATTCTCAGACTCTAGTGGTGCAGAGAACACTGGCTCACAGCTAGCAGCCCACCCCTCTTCCCATCCTTAGCTCCATCCCCCGCTGCCAGGGGCCTCATGTACATGTGTCTGGAGACCCCAACCCACATGTCCAATTTCCAGTCACAGCCGCAGTCCTAGGAATCCACCCACCACAGTGTGGTCTGTACTTGGAAGGAGGGACCCAGAGAGGAGGCCCACACAGCCCCTGGAAGCAGCCTTGGGGCCAAGCAGTCAGAGAATTCTGGGGTCCTGTGTGCTTGGTCTAGATGGAGGAAGGGAGGGTGCAGGCTTTGGTCAGCACAGGCTCCAGGTGGGCACATCCCTCGGCCCCGTGGACTCCTTGCCCTGTGGAGAGGAGCATTTGGAGCAGGGCCCTCTAAACTATTGGGGCTTTGGGCAGGGACCCCTCCTTGCCCAGGCCTGTGGGCAGTGATACATGCGATGCAATGATACACAGTACTTGTGGTCTTTGCTCTGTTCCTAGTCTGACTGCCTGCTTTCTCTGTGTGTACATGTTTTGTTTCTCCTAGTGGGCTGTTTATCACCATTCATGACAAAGGCCATCTTGCAACAATGCTGAACTCTTGGCCAGAAGACGATATTAAGGTATGATCCTATTTTCTTTGCTGTTGTTCTGTTGTGGGGTGAATCTGTTCAGCTTGGACCAGAGTCATTCCCAGCTATAAAATGAGCATTGCAACACTGAAGGCAGGATGCCATACCCCATTCCCAGGCCCACACCATAGCCAAGCACAAACGCACCAGGAACAGAGGTTTGCATTAACCGGGCACCCATGTGACATTGCCCTGTGTTATTATCGTTAGTAATAGTAGCCTGAAGATATGTTCAGATCATACTGAGTATCTACTAAATGTACAGTGCCAGTTTCCATGGTGGGTACTGGCATCAGGCATAAACCCTCTTCTTAAGGAGCTGACTTTTCATGAGGAAAATAAGACAGAGACACAAAAGACAAACAAGGTGGAGCTTGATAAACAGGCCCAAAGTAAGAGCTAAGGGTGTTCAAAGAGATTACTTTTAGCCTAAAGGGAATCTGGGAAGATTTCATAAGAGAGGTGACATTGGAACGGCCCCTCGAGCTAAGGGGTAGGGTTTGGACACTTAGGCCTTAGAGAGACTGGGATGTAGGGCGGAGACATTTTGCACCAAGAGAAAAAGCTTATGATGAACAACACCGTCACACCTGGGTGTACACAGCAGGGTGTGGATGGGTAGGGGGATGTATATGCAAAGTGACTGAATAAACCTGACACTTTTCCCTGAAATGCCAGTTTTACTCAAAACATTTAAGGAGAAAACATTTTTATATAATAAACAGGATGTAATTTAGAAGGCAAAGTTTGTGTTAATTTAAAAATATAAAACACGTAGCTCTGTAGAAATTTGTTAGCCTCTGACTACATCCCCAGGTCTTCTCCTGCTGTAGGGACTTCTTTGGAAGAGTGTGAGGGCCTCTGGCACCTAAGATTGTTGTCACTGCTGCAGACAAAATGGGTGAAGCAAAAATACAAAACATCCGGTGGCAGCTTGGTGAGGGCATTCCTGACACACGAGCTGGGAGGGGTGGAGATGACCCAGTACAGTATTAGTACCCCTCAGGGCCAATGCTCGCACCACCCTGCCTGCACTGGGAGCCTGTGGCATGCCAGCACTGTCTCCTCTCAAGGGCCCCCCTCCCTCCATCCCTGCCAGTTCCCTGAGCCACCTCTCTCCATCAGGCACCAAATGCAGCTTCTCTCTCCCTACCTGTCTTCGTGTCCCAGCCCCTCTGGCCCTCTAGGGGAGTGGTAACATTCAGAACCAGGGCAGGTAGGGCAGGAGCTTGGCTCCCAGGAACCAGGCCTGAGCCACAGCCAAGGCCCTTGGACTTCAGTCCTAGCCACGGTGAAGAGCTCATTTCATACACCTCTGTCTGGGTGTGATTTGTCCTGTGCTTCTCCTTCCTGCTTAACTGCTTAGACTCCAGTTGCATACAAGCCTTGGCACTGCTTTGGCCGTGCAGGTTTTGGTCCCAGTCCCAGAAGAAGCAAGTTTCCAGGGCGTGTCCAGGATGAATCTATAATTAAGGGAGGCGAGCTCACTCAATGGGAAGTTAACTCCAGCCTGCCCTGTGGGGAGCACTGCTGAGGTCCTGCAAACTAATCTTCCCCACCTTCCTGGACAGTTCAGCCGCAGTGGAACCTCGTACATAGTAGGTGCTGAGGAGATGCTTACTGAGTTGAATGAACAATGCAATGAGCATCTTCCATGTACCAGGCACAGTGCTGGGAGTGGAGAGCTGGGGTCTCCACTGACACATATAATGCCTTTGTGCAAGTTATGAAGAATTAGAAAGAATGATGTAAAGACACCCCCACTTAACCAGTAAAAAAGGCACTCCTTCCTCCAGGCTGGCGCGGGGGCTTGGTGAGGGGCTCACAGGCTGAATTTCAGGTTCCAACTGCTCTTCTTATCAGGACACAACTTACAGAAGTATACCCAGGGCCCTGCTTCGAGGAATGTGGAGTGAGAAAAACAGAGGCCCTGGCCCAAAATTGCTTCATTTGAGTTGGGAAACCAAGATATGAGTTCAGAATAGAACCTTAGCTACCAAGTATACGTTGACTCCAATAAACATATTTTGAGAACCTTCTCAATTCTCAATGCTAATTACCAGAGAGATGGAGACAGCTACTGCTGTGATTTTAGAGGAAGACAAACAGGGGCTTTGGGGTCACCATGAGGAGGTGGGACTTGAGCAGGCCTAGAATAAAGAGAGACATCCAGAGCCTCTAGGGAAAGCATAAGTTACATGAGTAGATGAGTTGCATTCCACAACCATTTAGTAAACATGTACTGTGTAAAAGCTCCCAGGGGGTTCAGGGATAAAGATGATATACAGGCCCAGCCACAGGGAGCTCACAGCTAGTCAGAGACTGACCCAAAAACAGTTACAGTAGATTGTGTCTGTGCTGCTAAAGAGAGGAGCCCGCAGACGAGGAGCAGACGGGGTGACTGGCTGACCAATTGCCCAGTGGTCCCTGGAGTGGACAGGGAAGGCCTGGGGCCTCCCCCGCCCCTTCAATTATATTCCTGTTTCACTTTGGAGAAACCCTGGGGTTAGTCCTGGTAACTATGGAGAAGAATCTTTGCAATCAGACAGACCTAGGTTCTGGTGCTAAATCTTCCATTTACCTGTGTGTGCAGACGATAACCTCTCCGAACTTTGTTTTCCTGTTGTGAGGATTAACCATGATAAAGTCTGTACAGCACTGAAGGCCCTTGAAGGGATGGTGTCGTTGCTGGAGGCGGAAGAGGCAGCTGTAACGCAGACAGCCGCATAGGGAGGAGGCTGCGGAGGCCTCAGGGCAGCTGTGGAGGGGGCCCCCTTCCCTGGGAATCACAGGCCACAAATGGGCAGCCAGTGGATTTGGCCCCTAGACCTGTTTGATTTGGCCCTGAGTGGTTTTTGAAAATTATGAATTTGTAGGCAACATTTTAAAATCAGGGCACTTCATTAAAACAAGCAAACAAACAAACAAAAACCAACTTGGATTTCTGGCTTCTCTGGAAAAACCAGGAGTTCGGAATATTGGGCCTATAGTTTGGCATGGGAACAAGTCAATTAGGGCTGATTGGGCTGCTTCCTGATTACCCCAATCCACAACCTGCCGTGTCCACGTCCACTGGCCGTCCACTGGCGTTTACTGGGGGGTCCTTCCTCCTCACCCCCAGGGCTGCCCTTTCAAAGGTTCAGAATGTTCCAAGCTGCAGTCTTTCTTGTTTACTGATGTGTTTTCTTCAGTTGCCTCAAAAAGCAGAGATGAAGGTCTCCCTACCTAGGTAGGGATTCTCTGCTCATTATCCCTTTCGTGGTACTTTGGAGCTGACGCAGACTTCCCTTCATTATTTTGTTTGATTCTCACAGTGACTGTGATCATAGTGTTCTAAGGAGTGGTTTTAAAACCCCCAAGGTGGGTCCTGAAGAATGGGTTAAGGGTGTGTCTTTTCTCAGATGAGCCAGCTGAGGTTAAGTGACTTGCCCGTGGTCACCCACAAATAAGCATTGATGCCACCGAGTCCTGCTACTGAGTCACTCTCCTCGCAGCTGCTGAGTAGGGGAGGCAGAGTTTTTTAAGGCACAGGTATCTTTGGCCCCTGATGTTGTTGGCCGCATGGCAGGAGGGGAGGGGTGGTCTGGAGGAGCTTCTGAGTCAACTCAGAAGATAAAAGATGACTTTCCAAGGTTTCCCAGCCAGAAAGCAGAACTGCAAACAGAGATGTAAGAGAAGTAGGCTGTGACGGAAGTGAAGCCAAAGCCCAGGGCTAGGGCGCCCGTGAAGTTTCGTGGGCCCCTCTTATTCAGGGAGGAGGGGGCGGGCCAGGCCACCCAGAGCTGTGTGGCGTAAATCACGAAGAGGAGTGAGAACTGCTTTCCTGACTCTTTCCCACAGCAGCCATTGCCCAGAGCCAGGAGGAAGGCTCAGCTGAGAATATCCTTCCTCCCCAACAGCTTTCCCAAGCTCCTAAATCTCTCCCTCATCCCAGTCCCAACAGCTTTGGGGAGGAGGTGCTGAGTGCAACTGGGTAATGGAGCCAAGGGAGCGTCCTCTTCCACTGGGCACCAGCCATTTGGGCATTTGAACTTGGACTAGATTGCTGGAGCCAAGTGCCTCCCTGTCATGCACAGGCCCACCATGTGTGAAATCCCTGTACTCAGTGTCAGAATTGGATTACATGGGAAACAGTGTCAGAGATGGAGATTAGCGTATTGGGGAGTGCTCTTGGGATGAACACCTTTAGAAGGGAGGGAAGGCAAGAGAGAGCAGAGAAGAATTTGGACTGAGTAAGTTCTCAAGGAAGACTCAACTGAGCCCATGAGGAGGCTCTGGAGCTGGGATAGCCCTTCAAAGTCATCCTGAGTTGGGGTAAGGGAGCCAGGCCTTCAGACCCCTGCTTCTTTGGTCATTGGTTGAGGGCTGCTGCCCTGGCAAGGGGGTGTGACTTTGGGCAAGGTGGCTCTCTTCAGTTGAGAAAATTCTCACAGTGGCCTGATGGGAGAGGAAAATGCTATGCGAACTCAGAGGAGGGATGATAACTTCCAGAAAGGAAACTTCATGGAGAGAGGTGCCTTATGAACTGTTCCTGGGGGCATGCAAGGATGGTAGGATTTGGATCAAGGAGATATAGGAATTGAGGAGTAAAATGGCATTTAGTCAAGAAAATACGGACCTTATGCAAGATTGGAAGTAGTTTTTTAGTTTGGATGGAGCATTGAGTGGAGAAAGGGGAAATTCAGAGGACAGATTGGGCCTAGATCATGGAAGGCCTTAAATGCTACTCAAAGATGCTTGAGCTTTATTTTATAGGCGTCAGAAGCCACTGGAGATTTGGGGGCAAGAAAGTGAGAAACCTTGGTGTGCTTCAGAAAAATGGAATGGGGAGAATCCAAGAGTGGAGAGACCAGTCAGGAGACCACTGCAGTGGTCACATGAGAGATGAATGGGCTGATCCGAGGCAGTAGCAGTGAAGATCATGGAACAGATGGGAAAGATATGGATAATTCAGATCAGCAGAACTTGGTGACCTATTGGTTGTGGTTACCTAATGACAGAGGGGAGTCAAAGCAGGTTAGATGGTTTTGAACCTGGGAGATAGGAGGTTACAGAGGGAAGGAGGACAGCAGAAGTCAAAGGTTTAAAAGGAGTAAAAAGGAAAAGAGGATTCATTTGGTTAAGGACTTAGGGAATTTGAGGAAGACTATTGGACACCCAAGTGGCAATATCCAGGAGACAGTTAGCTATAAATGTTATCTGCTTAGAGATAACAGTAGAAGCCATTGGAATGGATGAAGATATGAAGGTTAGAATGCTTTTGAGCTTTTCATGGGCAGACTTTCTTAAAAGCTGCATTTGCCAAGATCTCCCCTTGGTTTCCCTTTTTTTTCACTCATTTAATAGGTAATTATTACATGGTCTTTCTGTGGTAATGCTGAACTGGAGAAAGATGAAACAATTCCAAATTTGAATATATAGTCTTTACCCCCCCCCCGCAAAAATCATCATTATAATCATAAGAGCAGTGGCCATTTACTGATCACTTACTTTATACAAGGCACATGGTTTTAAAAGGAGACACACATTAATTCATTTCATCTTTACAACAACCTTTATGAGTTAGGAATTATTATCCCCATTTTATGGAAAATCTATCAGAAAAATTAAATTTACCCCAGACTACATATAGTATGTTATCAAGGAGCCTAGATTCAAATACTGGTTATCAAACTCTAAAACCCCTGCCATTAACCTTTACACTATTCAGTGAGATAAAATGCGCATTTTGAAATATGTTAAATAGGAACCCAAATGCTATCACCATCAAATGTTTAAGTAGCACCTTATGCAGGGCTTGGCAAGCAGTAGGTACTTAATAACTATCTGCAGAAGGCAGACAGGAAGGGTGAGCAGGCTATCTGTGTAGTAGGAGATGTCGATTGTAATGGGTGAGGTTTACACTGCAGGAGAAAGAGAAGGGCCTGCTAGGAGAGAAGAATGTGAGAGGTGAGAGATTGTAAGTGAATTCAGAGCGTGTCTGGCAGGAGTGAGGAGGCCAGTTTGCTAGAGTAGGCAGTGGTGTGCAGATGAGCAGCAGGAGATAGGTTTCAGAAGGTATATTGAATTCGGTCATTAAAGAGCTAAGCATTATGGGCTCTATTCTGTGGACACTTAGAAGTCACTAAAGGTCTTTGAGCCTGAAAATGGTGTAATGAAAATGAACTTTTGATACGATGACTCTGACATTGTTTGGTAAGAGAGATTGGAAGGAAGAAAGATGAGAGGCGAGCAGTGTGGGTGTGAAGCTGTTGCAATAAGCCAACCATTAGTCCCATAGGATTGAGAGTGGACGACAGATGGAGGTGAGACATTGATTCCTTCAGAGGAGTCAGGCATGAAATAGGGTGCCCTTGGTCATTTCCAGGCTGGGAGGGTAGCACTGCAGGGCCCCATCACCATCTTGCAAGACCCCAGAGTTGTAGGGATAACCCCCTGGAGTGGTAGCTGATTTCCTCGGTTTAACCCCATGTCACTCATTGCCCCTCAGCAGAGAGAAATTCTGAGAGAATGGGAACCAGAATAAGAAAGCTTTGACTAGGAGAGATGCTAGAGAAATGCCTGGCCTTGGTCCCAGGCTCCAGCAGGGAGAGCTGCCAGGAGGAGGTGAGAGGCAGGCTGCAGAGAGGGTGGCCCTGAGGCAGGGCAGAACTTTGCCGAGAGCACAGGTGCTTTGACACAGCCCAATGGGGTGGTAGAGTCCTGAACCAGGAACAAAGCCTGATGATGAATCCCTTACCTGCCACACACACAAGCAAGGTGACCTCGGTAAGTCATCTAATCTTTCTAAGATAAGCAATGTGGAAACATCCAGACCAGTGCCTGGTAGGTGGCTGATCCTTAACAAATATGTATAGAACGTGCAGGTCTTGGAGCTTCAGTTTGCTCACCTGTGAGACGGGATAACAATCTCAGACCTGCCTCCCTGCCAGGCTCTGGGGAGGATGAGATGAGACGTGGGTTGTGAGCACTCTGCATATAGGCAGGAGCCCAAACTAAGAGGGAATATCATGATTTTCATGGGTCTGTTAAACTCTCCAGAACCCACTTTCCAGAAGCAAAGGAGTGTTTTTAAGAATCTCAGCTCCTACTTCTACCAAAAGGCAGCAGCAGCCCTTGTGTGCTCTCCCTCCAGGAGAGAGAGAGAATAGAAGTGAGAAGATGCCATGGACACTTTGGGTCCTGGATTATAAACTCTTCATCCCCAGTGCCCAGCTTCATGCATCGAACTGACCCCTGTGGTGCCCATGGGCCAAGACTTGGGGCCAATCAGGACATCTACACCTCAGAGCTTGTCCTAAGTCCTGACCCAAAGCCAGGTTCCAGTGGGAATGGGTGGCCCTGTAAACCTAACTCATTTAGAGATGAGGGAGCCAGCCATGGTGAGCAGGTTGGGGAGACCTATAAACAACTTCACTGTCACCCTGAGGCATTCTCCTTGGCCTTACATTGAGGGCCCTTCTCGGTCTCACTCCTGCCTGACTTTGCATTCTCTCCTTTCATGCAACCTGCACCTCCTCATTCCCACACACAGCCTACATCCTCCCCACCTCTACCCTGGATCTTAATTCCCTTTTGTGTCAAATGCCTTTCTCCCCAGCTACGCCCCCAATGGACAGTCTCCACCTGCCCAAGGTCTGACATGTGTGTCCCCTCCTCTGTGAAGGGCTGCCCTACAGGAAGTAACTCTCCCTTCTCTCAACCTTTGCTGCCCTTGTGCTTTCACTGCACTCACACTTTCCTCCCAGAATGATGATTTTAAATATACATGTTTCCTCCACAACTATTATCACAGTCAATAAAGTTAAATTGACGCAATAAAATAATTAATTAATTAATATACACATTCCATCTCTCTTTTTGCCCCTTAGTTCTTTAAGGGCTGGATCCATGCATACTTGTTTTTAGAGATAAGCAAGCTGATGTTCCATCCCCCAGGATCTGGCATAGTGTTTTATGCAAAGTAGGTGCTCAGCAGTATGTATTAAAGGAATGAATAAATGAATATCTGTCATAATCATGTAATAATTTCTGTCATCAGCTTCACAGCATCTGTCAATTCACAGTAGGTAAGCCTGGAATTAGCACTATGTCCAGTACCTAGTAGACCCTCTGATTATTTGCCAAAACACAAAGGTAATCCCAGTACAGCTTGAGAACCCTCGTGGTTACATGTGAAATAGTGACCCTCGCAGATGTCACAAGGAGCTCTCTCGTTTGCAAATTGGATTTATTATACCAGGAGCAGGCCCGAGAGCACTCACATTGGTCTCCAAACTGTGGGGTTGTAGCAGCAGCGTGAACACTTGTTTTTCATTATGTCCTTCCCTCCCTGCCCCGTCAGATCTCAAGCTGAGAGTGTCTGCTCAGTTTCTTTGAGGGAGTGTGACCAGATGTGGTTTCCTTCCAGCTGTTTTTGCAGCTCCCATCCTGAACCTCAGAATGTAGGGCAGGTGTTTTTCTGTCATCTCACCTCAGTGGGGTTTCTCACCAACCTGCCAGGAAGGGGAGGTTGGGTGGGAGAAGGGCCTGCCACCCACAGCTGAATGAATCCTTATCCCAGACAAGCTGTTTCAGCCCCCTGCAGAGACTGTGGGCGTCCACTTGTCAGGCCTGTCAAGCTAGGGCTGTTAAAATGAGCACTTTGTCTCAGGAGACGCTGTCCCTGATTGATGGTACCCTGCTGTGTTTTTCAGGCCGTGGTGGTGACTGATGGGGAACGCATCCTGGGCTTGGGAGACCTGGGCTGCTACGGCATGGGCATCCCTGTGGGCAAGCTGGCCCTGTACACGGCGTGCGGAGGGGTCAACCCGCAGCAGTGCCTCCCCGTCCTGCTGGATGTTGGCACCAACAATGAGGTAAGGTGCTGCCCCAGCCAGGAGCTCTGGGGCCAGAGGTGGCGGCTAGGATGGTGGGGAGTGCCTTTGTGGGGCGGTCATATCTACACAGCATTGGGCCAGTTCTTCCCTGGGTCCCCTGCCAGGTCACTTTCCCTACACAGCTGTGAAGTGGAGGACCTTTCTCCTCCCTGCTTGCCCATCCCTCCCTCCCAGCCCCATTCTCTTCCCCCAGCCACTGCTGGGTCTCCTTGCTCCCCTACCCCCTTGACATCCTCCATGCCATCATGACACCTACTTGGGCTTTCTTGCTCCGTAACTCCAGGAAGCTTCCATTGCCCTCAAGGCCTCTCTCTGATCCTGTAGTGAAGAGGACCACTGATGGAGGTGGGAGTGGCTGCGGGGCTGGTTTTTTTCAGCATTTTAGAGGGAGCTGCCTCAGTGAAAGGATTAAAACTCAAAGAACCAGGGCCGAGGGCTGAAATGTCTGAGTCAGACAGATAAGGGTCCTGCGAGCCCAGGGAGAGATACTGACCCAAGCTGAGATCCACCTGTAGGATTCCAAGTGGTTTTGGATTTAAGGATCTCAAACCCCAGCCAAGAGTTTGTCTGCCCTGGGTACCACTACCCTGGGACCTGGTGTCTGTGCATGTCTGCCGTCTCAGCTCTGCATCTCTGTGTTAGAGGACATTGAAAAATATCCAAGAACTCCTTCTTAATGACATTTATCTCTGAGTTTAAAATCAGTGCAAGTTCATCTTTTAAAAAATTGAGAGAATCCAGAGAAATATTAAAAATAAAATATCAGTCATACAACCAATACTAATCATTATTTACATTTTGGTATATTTCTTTCCAGCCTTTTTGCCCCCAAAGCATTCATAAAAATAGAATTAGGATTATATTGCATATACAGTTTTGTATTCTGCTTTTTTAAACTTAATGTATGTCCTGAGTTTTCTCCCGGGTCATTAACCATTCTTCCACAATGTCATTTTAATAGCTGCCTGATGTATTGTAATTTTCATAAGAACCCCCCCACTGTCAGATACTTAGGTTGATTCTAGTCTTCTTGCAAATATAACTGTGACCTGATACCCATTTTTGCAAATCAGTCTTTGTTTCTATCTCTGATTATTTCCTTAAGATAAATTCCTAGAAATAGAAATATTGAGGTAAAAGGAATGGTCATTTTTTTAGACCCTTGATTCATATTGTCAAAAAGGTTATACTCATTTGCATTCTGTGGTGATCTCTCTCAATAAAACTTGCTACCACTCTTTGCATGGCCTTCCTCCTCCCTGGAAACCATACGTCCCCATTTCTAAACAAGAATGAGCACTGTAGCTCCTGGTGAGGAATGATCTTTATTCAGGCTTCATCCACAATACAGTCAAATGAGGGCTCAGCGGGGCTGGGGCAGACCTTGCTGAACAGCTGAGAAATCGTGGAGGTGGAAGTGGGCTGAGGGAGGACAAGGGAGTAGGAAAAGTACTTGACTGGGAAGCAGGAACTTGGCCCCAGGACCACTGACAGCAGGTGACTCCCTGCACCGATCTAGACTTGATCCCTTCAGGTAGCATGAAGGACTGGACCAGCATGTTTCTGAGTGTCTTCCACCTGTAATGCTCTTCTTCTCCATGTACCTCCCTACCAGCCTAGGAGATGACAGGAGGCTGGATGGTGGCACAGCCTTACAGTTGTTCATCAAGACCAGTCTTCAAGGTTTGCTCCATACAGTGGTTCCTTTGCCCAGCCAGATGCCTGGGTTTTGCTGAAATTGTCCTTTGGTCTCAAAGAACACCTGTGGAATCACCCATGCATGGATGAGTGTAGCAAACTTTGTTTTATTCTTCCCATCCAACTCCTCCTGCTGTGTTCCAACTGGCTTTAATTGAGACCTTCACTCTCTCTCTTAAACGCTGGCTCTAGACAAGAAACAGAACAGCTTGAGTTTGAATCTGGCCCCACTGCATTCCCTGGAAGGTTGATGGTTGCCTCTAGCAGGTGCATTAAGATCCTTTGTCATTGAAGGTCCAGCACCCAGCAATGATGTCCTGAAGTTTAGAGCTGGCCCCAACTTGTAACAAATCCACCAGAAAAGATGGCAGAAAACTACGAGTAATCATGTCCAGGCTGTTTTCACAGACCACCTGTTTGTCTGACAGTAACCCTGTGAATGGAGCATTGGTTATTACCCTCTTTTTACAGTTGAAGAAACCAAGGCCCTGAGAGCTTAATTTGCCCAAGAATATCCGCTAGAAGTGGCAGGGCTGGGATCCGACCCCACATCTGCGCTCCTCTCCCCACACCACACCCACACCAGCTGCCTTGGTTTCTGTTGCTTTTTAAGTAAAGGTCGTCTCTTGATTTTTAGAATTTTTCTTACTAAAGTAACTTTAAAACATTATTCAAAATTTTTAAAGGAAATGGAAATGACATCTCTCCCACAATGCTACATTTGCACTCCCTTCCAATACATGTCTATGTACGTACATAGATGTAGTTATTACCTTGTTATAATCATGTGTTCATAATTTTGTTCTGATTTTTTCCATGAAGATTATTTTGCGAACACTTTCTCTTTCCTTGCTTAACAAAAGTTTATGGAGTGTTTAGTAGGTATGAGGCACTCTGCTAGGCATGAGGAGATAAATGAGAGCCAGGCGTGGGTGGAATATTCTAGCTGTCAGTGTTTCAACACTGTCACCCGATTGATCATTTTAATGGCTAATGTGTTACATCTACTCAAAGTGGCTACTTCTCACCCTGGGGCTTTAGGCCTCTGAGTCACCTCTCCCTCCTGGGTGTGGAAGGAAGAGAGCTTCCCCTGGCTCTACTCCCTCCTGTCAGGAAGGACCAGCGTATTCCCCAGCTGAGAGGAGGGAACACAGCCTGACCTGTCCTTGCAACACCCTGGGGGTGAGAGAAAGCAGTTCCCACCCAGTCCAGTGAGACCATTACCAGCACCTGCAGTGTGCCAGGCCTAGCTCTAGGCCTTTAGTCTCATTTAATTCTCATAACAGCTGTGTGAGATCTTCTTCTCATTTTACAGATGAGGAAACTGGAGCGGAAACATGTTAACTATTTACCTCAGGTCCCACAGCTCTGGGGTTTGAACCCAGGTCTCTCTGGCTACAGAGCTGCCTTGTCCTCCACGGCACGCTGCTCCAAGAGGTCGGGTGTTTGTGTTATAAACTGGGTAATGGAGACTGGGAAAGTAGATATTTTGCACAGCCTGGATCCATGGACACTCAAGATCACGTCAGATGTACTAATGCTGCTTCCACGGTCCTCCCCCTCCAAAGAAAGGCAGACTCCCACCAGACACTCTTCAGAAAACTCAGGACACAAAAATCCAAAGTTACTAAGTGGCCGACATTGGCAAGACAGTGATTTATCTCTTTTCAGATGGATTGACTGTGTGATCTCCCACACTACAGGTCTTTTTAAAAGTGAATCCGTGTGCAAGATTTTCCACCCAGAAGTCTTGGGGTGTATCTCTCCCCCAGAGGAAACCAGAGCAAGAGGAGAGGGAGGCTCAGCCTTGCAACTTTCATCTTCCGTGTCAGTGCAGCGAGGGTGATGTTATGAGGGTTTGGGGTGTCAGAATAGCCAGACCATCTGTGTGTATGTCTCTATAAAAACTCCCGCGGCAACAAGAGCTTTAATCAGAGTCAAAGAAAACACCCCTCCAGGTTTCCTGTTGGAGAAAAACATCTGCTGTCTGCATCCCTGAAACTCTGAGTCACTTTACCTGCCGACACCAAGGAGGTGTGGAAAAATAAATATGTGGGGCAGTGATCCCATGAAGAAGGGACATCCCACAGTTAAGTTCCAAAGGGGCAGGGTGAGGGGGCCCTCCCAGTTATGCAGAGCACCTGTCTCAGCCTCCTTCATGGCTGTGTGGGGATTGGTTTGCGCATTTTGTTGCATCCACACCCATCAGACAGAGTCACAGACTGTCCACATTAGAAGGGACCTGAAATACTTCTCCTTCAACTCCCTAGTTTCACGTGGGAAGAGGGTTCTGCGGGGCAGCCTGGGGGGCTTGCTGAGCTGTAGAGGTCTTCTCCTGGGAGAAGTCTTGAGCCTCAGTGGATTCACCTCACCACAAGATGCTGTGTGAGTCTCTGTGGAACTGACTAATGGGGGCATGGAGGAGAGTCATCTTGGCTGGGGGAGAAGAAGACGGGAACAGATTATCAATGGAGCCTGGTAAATGGTGCCTGGGGGTGTTACTGGATTGCTGAGGAAGCATGAGATCGCTAACAGAACTGGGTGTCAAAGAGTTTCTTCCACCTTGCACGATTGTCGTTACTGCGGCTCATAGAGTCAGCATTCACCATGTGGTGCCGTCAGAGGCACTGGCTGCCTATGCACATGTGATCAGTGAGGCTGTGCTTCCTAGGATCTTTGTAGCTTCCCCTTGGGCTTAACTGAGCTCCCAAAGAAATGCATGGCAGACAGAACTGCCACCCTGAGGACGGACGTGCACTGTGTCCACAGAGTGAACCCAATCCCATGACCTCCCCAGACCTCAGATGCTCTCTGAGTAACATCTTTGTGTGCCTGTTGCTATGCAAGATAAATATTTTTCAGGGCCAGGAGGTTCATCTCTCTTCCAGCTTAAACCCAGTGCTCACTGATATGGCAAATGAAGAGGAGGAAACCCATTTTGTTTTCCATGACATTTTGTCTCCAAGAAAAACCTTGGGAGGGCAGAGCTGGGCAGACAGCCGTAGAGGTGCATTCAACACTCATGGCAGAGGAGAAAGTTCTCCTTACGTGCTTTGAATAGAGGCCTTAAACTAGAGTTAGAGTTATAAACGTACTTAGTTCTAAAGGGACCTTGGTGACTATCTAACAGAGAGGAAGCAGCAGGGCTCAGAGGTGAGTACGCTGGTCCCACCTGGGCAAACCCCTGTTCTGCAAGCCGTTGTTTCCATCCTGTTGCTCCCACCAAGTTTGCTGTGTGAGCTTGGCAGCTCGTTTCACCTTTCTGGGCCTCACAAACTCATTTGGAGGAAGCTGAAACAGGTGCTTTCTGAGACCTTCCTAGTTCTTAATTCAGGATCTCCTTCACCCAGTTCTGGGACTTGTGTCATTCACATCAGTAACCGCTTTGGGGCCTGCCCCGTGCCAGCACTGTAGAAATCACCGGGGAGACGCAGGGAATAAGGACCCTTTCCCCAAAGAGCTTGCATTATGCAATAGAGATCATCATTATCCCCATTTGACCGAGAAGAGAAATGAAGTGGAACAAGAAGTTAGATACCTTACCCAAAGTCACAGTACTAGTTAAGTGACAGAGCCGAAATTCAAACCCAGGTCCATCCGATTCCAAAGCCCAGAATCCCTTCTGCTTCTAAAGCCAGGCCACACTGACGGTGCTCAGAGGGAACATCCTGACCAGGGCCACCAGGCCGGCAGTGCCCTTAACTCTGCAGTCCACTGCCTCCCAACTTCAAGATTCCTTCTGCCTCTCTTGAGAGGGTTACCAAATTTAGCAAAGAAAAATATGGCATGCCAGTTAAATTTAAATTTCAGATAAATAGCTAATCATTCTGTTAGCATAAGTATGTTCCATGCAATACTTGGGACATATTTAGACTAAAAAAAATTGTTGCCTGTCTGAAATTCAAATTTAACCGGGTGTCCTGTGTTTTATCTGGCAATACTATCTGCTGAAAACTTCTGAACATTTGTGTGAGGAAGTCAAGCATAGAGGAGGGCTGAGGGAGAGTGTCCAGGTCGGTTCACAGGCCCACACCTTGCTGGCAGTCATCCTCAGTCGGTGGACACTGGGCAGAATGTGGATTTCTTATCTTGGAACACAATAATCCATTACTACTGAACTCTTCCAGGAGGACCAGGCAGAGAGTGAGCAGCTGCCCCCAGGGTCCCTGCTCCCTACAATGTCGAATGACAAGGCGGAAAGGACGCTGTCATGAGACCCAGTCAAAGCAAGGCTCAGTTTCAGTTTAGCCACTTTCTGGCTGTGTGAGCTTGGCCGAGTTATTTAAACCCTTGGACTCGACTTTCCTCACCTGTCGAACGGGGATGAGAATATGTTAAGACAGAAGGATGAGATTACTTTAGATTCAGAAGGACTGAATTGTTTGAAAGTTCTGTACAAATATAAGGAGCTATTTTTTAGTGTCATCTCCATATAGAAACTTTCTTTTTGATTTTTTTGTGTGCTTAGTTTTAAAGTATTTCAGGCATAGAACATTTTAGTATAAAAGTAAAACATAAGGACTTAAACTTTTTTATAGTCATATCTCAACAGAACCTCATGATGGTTGACCTTTCACCTTCATGCAGATATACAGAGAAAGTTTTGGAAAATCCTAAAATTCTTCGATACCACTGGAGAATTTGACTCACTCCAGAAACCACACTGAGGAATTCACTCTTCACTGCCTCATGCGCCAGCAGTTCAAATCTGTGGCTTGGCAACATTACAAATTATAACTCCCTGTGGACCCTTTAATCTCTATAAGAATTGGGGCTGGCTCTGTGACCTAGTGGTTAAGTTCTCGCGCTCTGCTGCGGCGGTCCAGGGTTCGGATCCTGGGCGCAGACATGGCACCACTCGTCAGGCCACGTTAAGGCGGCGTCCCACATCCCACAACTAGAAGGACATGCAACTAAGATATACAACTGTGTACAGGGGCGGTTTGGGGAGATAAAGCAGAAAAAAAAAATTGGCAACAGTTGTTAGCCCAGGTGCCAATCTTTAAAACAAAAGAACTAAAAACGTGAATATGTTATGCAAATACCTAGAGTTACATTATTTTTATCATTTTTGCGTATGCCCTTCCGGTTGTATGTGTATGAGTTTCAGATAATTGAAATTATCTCCATGCTATTTTGTATCCTGCTTTTTTCACTTTAAATCATCTCATACACATTTGTCCAGGTGGCTGCATAGTCTTAAAAACCAGCAGTTTTAATGACTGCCTCGCTGTCTCTTAAGTTGCCATCATTTACTTTATTGTTCCCCCTTGGCTGGATGATTGTTGCCTCTAAGTGACTTTTAGATGGTCACTTTAAAGGTGGCACGAGGAAGGGTAGGTACCATATATATCCCACTCTTGTCCTTTGGTCTCCCTCCCAGGCCACACACACAACCACTAGGGCAGAATGCTAAAAACCTCAAGGATGTATAATCCAGGGGTGAGGAGAGTGAGAAACAAGGTTAGGACCCACCCTCTTTCTATTGTTGACCTGTGGTGCCTTGGACAAAATGCTAACCCCCCCTGTGAGTATGTGGCCCCAGGCCTGGGTGAGGGGTGAGGAAGGCAGATATTTCCTGTTCTTTTCTGTCTCCTACACCTTTGTCCAACCACCTCCTACAGCGCCATCAAGACAATAGGGACCTAGAGCAGCATCTTTAACAAAAATAAATCAATTCTGGGTGATATGCAAAAGGGCTGCCTAGGCAGCGTGGCTCGGAGGTTAAGGTCGTGAACCCTGAAGCAGGCAGCTGAGTGTGAACCCTGACTTCTCCGCTTATCTGCCCAAGGTCTGGGCAGCTTGTTTACCTCTCCATGTCTTGTGGCCCCATTTGTAAAATAGGGGAAAATAACAAGACGTCCGTGTCTGCCCAGGTCCTCCAGGAAACAGATGTGTGAGAAGTTTATTGGGAGGACGCCTGTGACGAATAAAGGGAGGGAGCAGGAATAGTTGACGGATGGATGGGGCCTTCAGACTACGATGAAGGTCTGTCACCTATGAAAGGAGAAAAGGAAGGAGGGAACAGAGCAAGAAGAGCTCTGCCTGCACTGCAGCCCTGGAAAAGTCTGGCCCACCCTAGCACCCCACCATGCTCAGTCGGAGCAGCCCAGGGAGAGTGTGGCAGCTGAAGGCTGTCCACCACCTACCCTCCCTCAGCAAGTTCTCTTAAGGAAGATCTGAGCCACACACCTCCATGGCTGCACACCTCGTGGAGGAGATTCAAGGACTTAGAATGTTGCTTAGTATGTGGCACATGGGAAGCACTATGAAAGTTACAGCTGCTGCCCTCACTAGGTAGCATATGTTATAATTCACAAAGCTCTTTCACATATATTATTTCATTTAATCATCACAATTACCCTGTACAGCTAGTATTTTATCCTCATTTGACAAATGAGACGGCTCAGAGAGGTCACATGATTTGCCTGAGGTCGCACAACTAGTCAGTGGTGGAGGTGAGACTTGACTCTAAGCCCCTTGAGGGCACAGCCCATGGTGTCTTTATTTTTGTTATCTTGTAATAGCAGTTCAGGTGGAGATGAAGATAACACAAAACCTTGTCTTCAAGGAGCTCATATTTTTGGTGATACAGACATAAATAGATAATTTCCGGAGACCCTAACACATGGAATTACTTCCTGTTTCCTAAACACACCAGGTACTTCTTCCTCCTCTGTCTCCAGCCCCCAGCCTTTCTCTGTGCCGACTTTCCAGCTTGGAGGGCCCAGCCCACCTGTCAGATTCTGCCCATCTTTTAATGACTGGCCATTTCCTCCAGGAGACAACCCTCACCATGCCCCAATCGGAATTGCTTCACTCCTTCTCTGTGCTTCCATATTCCACACTTCGTTCCAATGCAGTGTCTGCCCTATGGTAGAGCTTGTTAGTTTACTCATCAGCCACTTGCAGTAGATTGTGAGCACCTTAAAGGTAACAGCCATTTCTTACTCATCTACAAATCCCCTGCAGGCTCCAATATCAGCAGTAATAGATGATCAGTAAATGTGTCATGCGTGAATGAGTTCACTGATTCTGTATAGGGGTGTGTGTTTGAGAGGGGGATAGAAGGAGTGGGAAGTCAGTCAGTGAGAGTGGTCATCAGACCAATACAGACATAGAAGATAACCAAACAGCATGCGAATGCTGTGACAGAAATTGCTGCAGCAGGTGGAGTATGGGGTCACCTGATAATAGGCTGGCATTAAGGTGGACATTTTTCTTGAATCAAAATTTCTAGGGGCTGGCCCCATGGCCGAGTGGTTAAGGTCACACGCTCCACTTCGGCAGCCCAGGGTTTCACTGGTTCGGATCCTGGGTGTGGACATGGCACCACTCATCAAGCCATGCTGAGGCAGTGTCCCACATAGCAGAACTGGAAGGACCTACAACTGGAATATACAACAATCTAATGGGGGGGCTTTGGTGAGAGGAAGAAGAAAAAGAAAAAAAATTCTGGTTATATCATTCTATCCTTGTATCCCCAGGGCCTAGCACGGTGCCAGGCACATGGTAGGTATCCAGTAAAATTTTGTTGAATGAATGAATGAATGAAGTGTTTTCTAATTTGAGTCCAGATCAGTGGCTTTGGACGAGACCCAAAATCTCAGTCCAGATGCTGCTTATGGCGGATCTCAACAGGAACAATTCTGTCCCTACGAAGACATTTGGCAATGTCTAGAGACAGTTTTTATTGTCAAAACTGGTGGTGCTGCTGACTTCTAGTGGCTAGAGTCCAGAGATCCCACAATGTACAGGTCAGTTCTCACATCAAATAATTATCCAAGCCAAAATGTCAGTAGCACCATTATTGAGAAACCCTGAAATAAACTCAGAGCCTGCAGCCAGAGGTTGGAAGACTGTGCCTGAGAGAGGCTTGCCTGGTTCAAAGCATCCTTGGTTCCTAAAGTGGACACCATCTGGGAGTCCACCTTTGCTCAGTAGCTTAGCCTCCAGACCCTTCCAGACACCTGGAAAGGTGAGAGAGCAGCCAGCTTCCTCCTCTCTTCTCCCCTCCCACCCCCTGTCCTTCCTACTAAACCAAGACACTTGAGGAAATGGATGCTGTCTATTCCAGGAGCTGCTCAGAGACCCTCTGTACATCGGCCTGAAACACCAGCGTGTGCGCGGGAAGGAATACGACGACCTGCTGGACGAGTTCATGCAGGCCGTGACAGACAAGTAAGTCGATCAGTCTGTCCCTTTTAGAAGAGGACTTTTAAGAGGGAGCATGGGGACCGGCCCAGTGGCACCCTGGTTAAGTTCGAACGTTCCGCTTTGGCGGCCCGGGGTTCACCAGTTCGGATCCCAGGTGCAGACGCTGCACCACGTGGCAAGCCATGCTGTGGTAGGCATCCCACATAGAAAGTAGAGGAAGATGGGCACAGATGTTAGCTCAGGGCCAGTCTTCCTCAGCAAAAAGAGTAGAATTGGCAGCAGATGTTAGCTCAGGGCTAATCTTCCTCAAAAACAAGAGAGCATGATGAAAGTCAGTACTTATTTTGGCAGGTACACAAACGAGGCAGTAGATGCGTGCTTTTCCAGGTGGTCTGAAAATTCCAACTTGACCCCATGTACTTGGAAGACTCAAAGCCAAATGGGCTTGTTGCCTGGGAGACTCTTTGGGAGCAGACAGAGGAGAGCAGAGGGTTGATAGCTGAAGGCCTGTGATCTGGATTAGTTAAGTGTCCAGTGTCCCAGAGGAAAACCCCCTTGGCTTGAGGTGTTCTGGGTCGTTGACATGAAGAGGAACACTGTGAGTGGGAAGGAAAGGAGTGTGCCCTTCTGACGAAACGGCTTTGGAAGGCAGCTTGTCACGTTAGTCCTCATTTTCCACCTCTACATGAGGACCAAGAGGTGTTAATGAGCCACCACAGCAGGCCATACGGGCTCTGGGCCTATGAGAATTATGAGGTGTCATCTCTGCACTGGGATGTGCAATATTGGTGGCTTCCATCCCTCTCCCCTGCCCCATCTGTCTGCCGTCGTGGCCACCCACTCACCCTGCCATGGCTGGCATGCTGCTGGGATGGCATCCTAGAAACAGCCCCCGAACCCACCCACCTTTAGTCTTACAGGCAAGTCAGGCAAGGCAGAGTTTCAGTAGCTCAACAGCCCCCGCAGATTGAGCAGGTCTCCTTCTCACTTGAAAATCTCCAGCTTTTCTTGCTATCCCATGAGTACCCAGGTATGGCAGAACCGGCCTGGTTGTCCTTGGCAAAGTACTCCCTTGCCCACTTCAGTCACTCACACCAGCGCAGTGGGCTGGAGAGAGAGCTGCTTTGGCCTCTGCAGCCCGTGAAGTCTCATTTGGGTGGGCTTTGGGGGTGGGCAAACTGACGCCACCACTTCCAGGTTATGAAACTGTTAAGTCTCTTTGTCTGGTCTCCTTCTCTGGGGATAAGAAGAAAGCATTCTATTATTGTTGTGTTTTTTGTTTTTGTTGTTTAAGATGAGAGAAATAATATGTTATATGGGATGGGAATGATCCTATAGAAGAGGAAATTAGTAGTGGAGTGTGGGGGCAAAAGTTCTAGAGTAAGGGAGAGGCAAAGATCTAGGGCACACCTGGAGAGCTTAGTCTTAGGAGCAGAGAGGCCCATCCGCAGGGAGAGAGGGAAGGCAGAGCACTGGGCACAGATATGGGCGGGTGGGTAGATGTGGTGGGGGGGCATGTGGGAGCCCCATCAGATGAAGGCAATGTCACCCCCTGAGAGTGAGGATGGGGACAGAGGTGGCGGAGGCTTAAGGATGGAGGAGGTATGACCTAGAATGTCCAAACCAGGGAAGTGGAAGATGATTGCTGGGTAGTTTCATGGGCCTCCTTGAGGTTACTGCTCATGAATGTAACTTAGGTCAGTTAACCTCTTTCTGTGTTTTTCTCTAACCAGTTTCAACTGGATGCAGGGCAGAAAGAGGCAGAGAGTAGGATTTAATCACGGTTGGGATTTTGCCAGGCAAGGGAGAAAGAAATTAAGAGTGTATTCAAGGGGATGATTATAATGATGTGTCCTGAGGTCTAGGCTAGATAAGAAGGGACATGAGGACACAGTGGAGGTGAGAGGTAAGGGACAGTGATATGGTCAATGCTCAGTAAGTCCTAATGAGGCCTAAGAATTGTTGAGTTGGGTAATAGATGGAATGAGCTGGAAAGAAAGGAGGTGGTAATCAGAAAGTTAGGTGTTTGAAGCTGAATTATGGAGGAAGTTCTGTTAGGGAGATGTGACCACCAAAGCAGCTAATTCAAGGGTCAGCTGCATTAATAGAGGCCTATCATCTGGAACAGGGGAGGTGAATGTCCCACTTAATTCTCCCCGTTTCAGACCATCCTGAATACCACATTCGGTTCCAGACAAGATACGTCGAAGGTCATAAATTACCTAAAGCGCCTTTGGAGAACAATAACCATGACAGTGAAGGGCGCCAATGGCTTAGCCTGGTAGAGAGAAGACCTAGGGACTGCTCTGTGCGAATCAGGGGTGCAACACTCCCTCCAGAGATCCGAAAGCTGTTCTTCCAGAAGAGGACTGGACTTGCTTCTTTATGCCCGTATGGAGAGGAGCTAATTGGTAGAATACCAAAGGAGGCAGTTTTCAGCTCAAAATAAATCAGAGCTGTCCCTGTGGAAATGAGTTCCCTGTCACAGAAAGAGTTCAAGGATACGTTGTGTGGCTTATTATAGGAGGTGCTATTATAGGAAGTAATTTAAGCATCAGTTGCTCTTTAAGATGCCTTCCTACCCCATTATTCTATTTGGATCTTTTAAAATTCCTGCATGGCTGGCAGGCTGGGTATTATTATGTCCAGTTTACAGAGGAGGAAACTGAGACCCTGAGGGGCTAAGGAACCTGTCTCACAGGTCACCCAGTATCTGGCATGACTTCAAGTTGAATGTGTGTCTGCTGACTGTGAGGCCAGACTGTTTTCTACAATGCTGAGTTACCTGTGGAAGAAAAGAGAAGGGAATGAAATTGGCTTTGAGAGCCCATTTTTTTGCTTCCCATTTTCAGGGCTCACTGCCTATCTAATGAGTCAGTAGTCATTCCAGGATTCCCCACAGGGAAGTCTTACTATTCGTGTGAGAAGGTTAAAAAAACAAGGATGTAAGAGCCTCTTCAAATTACCATCAAACTCAGTTCACAGACACACAGGCAGTCCGGGGGTGAACCCTGGGGAGAGGGGTGTGCATCAGCCAAGAGGAGTGCGTCCTTCAGTGGAAAAGATGATGGGCTGACAGTCAGTTGTTTTGACTTTCTAATAAGCTAAAGCAGGTGTTTCTGTGGATACTGCAGGTGAGGAAGGAGCTGGTCTCCCTGGGCACTCTCGGGAATATAGTAGCCCCAAGACAGAATGCCCGGCCTGGGAGTGAGTCAGCAGCCCTGAAGCCAAACACAGTGTATTTTAAGAAAGAACCTCAGGAAATGTTGACTCTTGCCTTCAGCATCTTTGCCTCTTTCCAAACATCCTGCTAATAAAAAGGTCTACCTTCTTGCCCCTACCCACTAATCGGGGTGTGTCTTAAGATTTTTTGGTGTGAAAAAGAGTCTCTAGGCTTAGCTACCATCCTGGAGTTTGGCCACTGGGGAGGGCCCCCTGGGGCAGAAGGAATCTCCACCTGAGTCGGTAAACCCAGCAACAGACAGCTGCGAGTGTCCTGCTCCCAGCTGAGACAAAGCCTGAGGTTCCCATGGTCCATTCTTTCTGCTCTTTCCCTGCCAAGCGTGAGACCTGGAGCATTGCACCTGAGCGACAGCTTTCCCCGATGGTTTCCACTTACATTGTTCATTTCTGTTACTTGCAGTAGAATGGAAGGGAATGGTCCGTCTAAGTTTACACCTGGAGCCCTCGCTCTGTCTGACACTTGGCCTGAGTTGGACAGAAGTTTGATGTCAACAGCAGCTTCAGCCTTTAAGCAGGCCAGGAAAGGAAACCACCCCGTTTCTCTCTGGCTCCCCAAATCCTAAAGACAGAGATTGCTAAGCTGCTGAAATAAGAGTGACAAAGAAGGGAAATGATAGTTTAAAAAAAAAAATTGACCTTAATAAAAAAGTCATCTGCTTTTTAGCTCCAGGAAAATTTCTGTCTTTTTGGGTCTCTCCATCTTTCTATCTCTGGTTCTCTCTGTCTCTCTCTCCCTCTCTCTCTCTCTCTCTCTCTCTCACACACACACACACACACACACACACGCACCATCCTACACTTGATACCTGAGGCTCACACCATAGTGAGACTGGCACAGTACCACTTCCACCACATTCTACTGGTTAAAGCAAATCAAGGTCCATACCAGATTCCAAGGGAAAAGATAACATAAAGACGTAAATATCAAGAGGCATGGTTCATTGGGGAGCCACCAATATAACAGACTACCACACCCCATCCAGGCTGGGAGGGACAGGGAATGGGGCAGCCAGCGTTATAGGAGACTGTGCTCAGGAGACGCAAGAAGGCAGAGAAAAGAATAACACAGTTAGTCATATAAGCAGAGAAATGTATCATATAAAATTGACAGTCATCTCCCAAGTGCCTGCTGTATACAAGATGCTGTGCCAGGTACGGTCGGCAGTCCGTAGAGAGGGAAACAGTCCTGCTCTCAAGGAGCTTTGCATGCGAAGACATTTTTATGTATCTACTGGAGTTGAGAGCTGACCTCTAAGCTTTCTTAGGCTCTGAGTCTCCATGTAAGTCTGGAGCTCAAGAAGAGTTCTAGGGCGGAAATATAAAGCTGGGAGTTGCCAGTCCATAGATGGTATTTAAAGTCAAGGGAGTGATTGAGTTCACCTAGAGATAGAGAGTAGACAGAGAAGAGATTGTGTCTCACCACCATTTTCTGAACCATGCCTTGCAAATCAAAGCGTTCAACAAAATTTAGGATTAGACGAGGGTATTGTTGGTAGGAATGACAAGGAGGGTGAAAAGGTTTCATTCCTTGTGCCAGCTCTGGTTGCTGGGATTCCAAGGCCTCTCTAGGTTCAACAGGGAAGAGTGTCATGGTTGATTAGCAGTGTCTTCCCTGAGCAGGGGAATGAGGCATGCAGCACGTGTGCTATGCTTTAGCTGTCCTGGATGTGTGAGGAGCCTAGTGGCCCAAGCACCTGTGACTCTATGAGCAGTCACACTTGCTGGTCCTTCTGTGACTCCTACAGCTCAATAGCAACTCAGAGGCCAAAGGAACCTGAAGG